GCATGATCGCTTAAGCGATCCGAGTATCGCTAAGCGATTCTTGCCTTTTGTCTGGTCGATTAAGCGACATGGGCAATAAATACTTTTCCAGCTTTCTCCTAAATTTGACAAACTAAAATTACCAACACGTATTGATTCCATACTTTCTCCTCAATTTGACAACCTAATTCCAAACTAAAATCACCAACAGATATTTAGGCATGTAAAAGAAGTATAAAGAATGATTTATTAAAGGAACAAAAAATTTAAAACATCAATAATTGAAAACATAACTCATCAACGGTTGGCCTTCGCAAATCCTTGAATTTCATCCTTCTTTGAACCTAATTTTCTAGATCTGCATGTGATTACTTTTGGCAACTGCTTCTCTTGTGGCCAGGTTGCTTGCAAATGAGCATTTATTCATCTTCCGAAGAACCTCAGAGGTGATTGAATACGCTTAAGTCTTTTCTCCCCTTTACTGTCTTCTTGAATGGCGGATGGATGATAATGTCAGCCAACTCTTGCGGCACTACTCATGCTTCTAGAGGCACTGGATATATGTTTCTGAATAAGCTAGCATATAGTGATCTACCATATAGAGAGGGGAGCAAAGTTCCATGTAAATTCTTGAACCAAAATCCGGCTTCCGTTGGTGTTTCAGTGCTGCTAGTGCATGAGGACAAGGTAAACGTTGAATGTCAACACACTTACAAATACAAGTTTTATTAACAAGGTTAACTAGGGCATCCGGACCATAGCCGCGCACAGTGAACTCTTAAGCATTAAGAGGATAGGAAAACAGTGCATTTGACAGTTCCTACGTTCTCGTAATAATTTTTCAGCAGATAGAACAAGTTGTAGTAAAATTATCTGACTCCATACGACGCTCATGGAACCACCTGACAATGTCCTCTGGATTGCATCAAAAAGTGCAACTATTGGAAACTCTTTCTATTAACAACTCGAATTTATAGACTCCGCTATATTCGTGGTCATGACATCAAACCTCTTCCAAGAAAGTAAGCTCTACTTCATCGCTCGAAACCAACATCATGCTCAAGATACTTAGCAACACTATCATCCTTAATTCGGATTTGCTAGAAGTGCCTCGAACTCATCAACCCAATAAGCTTTTGCTGCCATGTAGTATGTTTGAAGGAGGCCAACACACTTAAACTTTTGTTTTATGTTCTCACCAAGGTGCCTCATACAGAATCTGTGATGTGCTTGATGGGAAATAGTGGCAATCCCCTTCTTTATAGAGTTGTACTTACGGATATTATGCACAACTCGTCAATGTCAGGCACTATCTTGTAATTGCTGAAAAAACCAAGTCCACGACTCGTCATTCTCAGAGTCAACCACAACCATGCAACAGGATATGTGTGATTCTCACTGTCCTATGCAGTGGCCACCAACAATGTACTTATACTTTCCTATCAAAAAGCAACCATCAACAGCCAAAACCTTTCTCATGTTTACAAAACCCTTAAGCAGAACCGTAAGCAACAAAAAATATTTAAACATCATATTCCTGTCCCACTTCAAAGATGTCTTGCTACCTTGGTTTGTCAACTTAAGCATATAACGGTACGCTTCTTATAATGCGTACTCGTGCTTCGGTGTGCCCCTCACAAAATTGTGCATGTTGTCTCTCTCCAGCATTTCCAGTAAATAACAGCACATCCCAACTCTGTGCGCACAAGTCTCTGAATGTCTTTAGGAGATGGACTTTTCCCTTCAATGAACCGACTTTTGACAAATGTCCAATAACATCAGTAGATGCTTGTCGATGCTCACTTGAAATATGTCAAACCCCAAGTGTGCTCACGAGTATATGTGCTAAGAATAAATTTTTCGACTCGCCAACCTTCTACAATAAACCTGCCACTTACACTTTTGGTCACGACATGCAACCGTCACAGCAAATGAATTGACTTTTTGGTGATGAATTCAAAAACCTCTCACGGCAACAAGTTTTAGCTTCCTCACCACTTCCTCTTTGTTGTCAAATAAATACCCTATGCGCAACTCCGATCCACCCTAAAAACATGAGCTGATTCACTACTACCTCTAATGCCCCCTCTAAACCTGATAAACGACCATGTGTTCTCTTCCTCATAATCTACACACTTCTGCATAATTTTATTTAAAGGAATCTCTACATCTGTGGGAACATTGGGGTCCTCCTCCTCAACATTTTCATTACCCCCATCACCAACCTTTCTACAGTGCTCCTTACCACCAATTCACCGTACTCTTGATTTTTCAACTAACAAATCAATGGCCTCGTAGTTCAAATTAAAACCAGGCAAATCTCCGCTACTTCCTTGTTATCCCCTTCCTTTGAACCCACTTCCAACGGTTTTTCTACAAAAGAAACCCTTAAAATCGGCCTCAAACCATTATCGGCCAAATCAATAATATATAACTCACACTTCATCCGACTTTAATATAGCAGGAGGTACCTTATAATGTTCAGGAACTCTGCTTAAAACATAATTCACCAACTAATCACTACGCGAGCAACTCAAATTACCTCTTCTAATTATTTCATCAATCAACTCATCAAAACAACCTCTATGCCTAAGTAATTGGTATAACTTTTTTGCTCTTCCCAATCCACTTCTAGCTACTTTCCCTCACCCACTCACCAAAATATTCAACCCCCAAAACAACTTGTCCCATGTGTAATAATAGCCAATTACATGTAATGCAAAAAAAAAAAAAAAAAAAAAAAAAAAAATTCTTAAAGCTGTACTAATGGTTCAATATTTAAAAAGAATCTGCCCAGTCGCTTATATGGTCTGTGTATCGCTTAAGTGATCATGTTATTTATACTGAATCGTTTAACCATGATCGCTTAAGCGATCTTATGTCATTTACTGATCACTTAAGCAATCTGCTCATTATACACCAGACTTTTACTAGATCGCTTAAGTGATCTTATGCCACATACCTGATTGCTTAAGCGATCTATCTGCTGCATTACCAAACCTACCAGATCGCTTAAGCGATTCATCATACCCATAACACATTTTCAGTCATCTCCACCCACAATCGATCCATCATACCTAGAACACATACCTATAACAAATTTTCAACAAATTTCACTCTTTTCAACTTGCATTACATCAAACACAATTCAACAACCTAAACAACTAAATCAAAATCATAACCCAAACCCCATCCATTATTAAATCTTTGTAAATCTAAATATAAAATGTAAAAATGAGATATACATACTTTGACGAAATGTCAGGAGGAGGAGAATGGGGATCTTTGGCGAAGAAGATGTTAATGGTAGAGGAAGAAGAAAGTGTTAATGGCGGAGGAACAAGAAGATATAGATGAATGAGGAAGAAGAAGATGTAGACGAAGCTAAGAAGAAACAACAACCAAGGTAGAGATGCGTTAATGGCGGGAGGAAGAAGAAGGTGTTTGGGTTTGTTTGCAAGAATTTTGGGTTTTTTGGAATATAGTATAATTTTTAAAAGATTACATAATACTTCATTAATCCTAATTAAGCACTAATCAAGTTTAATTATCCTTAATCAATAATATGGCTATTTAGTTAACACTTTAAAACTTGATAGCCTTTTAATTAAATTTAAATTTCAGATGACCTTTTAATAAACTGCCCTGATGAATGTGATTAATCAAACAATTTAGCTATTATTATGACTAATAAAATATGCTTTTCGATAAGAAGAATAATTATCTGTAATTGCCACCTACCAAATTGTTGTTGAATTTATGTACAACCTCCTTAAACACTTATTTAATCATAAATTATTGACTAATTGTAGCAAATTACGAATTGTTAGATCACATCTGACACTCGCAGGAAGGCTTGACCAATGCTTTTAAGTTTTACCAATGGAACATATGTGTGTCAACTACTTTGACTTTTTTTTTTTTTTTGGGGATGATTGTGGACATCCGAACCAATTTATGCGCACCTCAACTAATCTTATAACACCTTGAACTATCGATCAAATAAAAATTCTAATGACTAGATAAAAGCTCAAGTGATTAGAGGTGGGCAAGGACCAAGCCCAATTGGTCTTAGGTTTGGGCCCAATGGGTCCAGTCCCATTGGATGAGATTGGTTTTTGGCCCATGAAATTTTTAAGGGTCCAAATGGATCCCTAAGACATGTTATGGGCCCATAGGACCGGTCCTATGGGGTTGGAAATTTTTGAATTTTTTTTATTATTTTTTTGTAAAATTTTATTTTAACCCTATATTTATTGTCTATTTAAAAATAAGTAGGTTTTGGATATTTACTAGGAGCTTAAACGAAATTGGGTGGGCGGTTTGGGATCGGTCTCGGACGATCCCAAGCCCGGGCCTTGGAGGAGGGACCAAACCTAGGCCCGAGCCCTCCTTCATGGGTCTGGTTTGGTTTTGGGACCCCCCGACCTTATAAGACCAGCTTTTTGAGTGGGTTTTTTGGGTTCGGGCCCAAATTCCCACCTCTACTAGTGACATCCGAAAAGAAACTCAAATTCAAAACTTTTTGATTAATACACCAAAAAGTCTCTTTTTAAATAGTACACCTGAAGGTCTCTATCAACTATTTGACTTTCTTTTGCATGATGTTTTTCTTTATTTTATTAATATGTAAAAAACATTTTTGTAACACATTGTTAACACAACCAAAACCATTTTAATTAAAGATTGGGATCTTAAGTATTCCCTCCCACTATTAAAAATCTAATCTTTTGATTACATCAATAAATTAATACTTAATTTTGAATGTTATATTTTCATGCAAATAGTGTGGAACTCATATTGCCAAGGCATTGTTTGAATATAATAGTTCTTTTAACGTGTTTTGGTAATACCTGAAAAAGAGAGAAACTAAATTTAAAAATCTTGGTTTCAATTGTTGTTGACCTTTGCTTATAAATGGAGGCGTGGGAAAATCTCCTCCTCCAATGCTTCCATTTATGATGTTGGCATCAACCTTTTATGGCCTCAAAATATTATTATCCAGAATCCAGTTTTGATAATATTTGTGGATAAGAATCTCTGGTGGATGTCACAACACAAACACATGACCGCTACAGTACAAAGTAAACTGCTGCTACTTCATCACCTGCTTGGAAGCCAACCATGCAACTCATTCTCTCCCTTAGTGTTTCTCGATTGCCCAACTCAACAGGTACCCACGAAACTTCTTTCTCACCTGTAACAATGTAAACTTTACTTGATTTTAGTGAGGTGGTGCATAAAAGTTGTTTCCCAGCTCAAACTCTTGATTTTAGTGAGGTGGTGTATAAAAGTTGTTTCCCAGCTCAAACTCCTCAACCTTTGAACTTGATCAAAAATGACATTGAATGCTGTGTATCTATTTCTTTGCTTTTTCTTTTCTTTAAGCAGACAGTCCTATCGAAATTCAACTGCTAGATTTCTACCTTTTAAGTCATCTGATGCTAATTATTTCATGTAAACTCAATCAGAAATTGTTGTTCCTTTTGCATAAATATATTGTTGTGTTGCATTACAATTTAGATGTGATTGGGTGTTTATATGACTGGCTATGTGTTATTGCATATGAAAACTCTTTCCCGTAATGATTCTTTGGTAGGTTGCCTTTGGCGTTGGGTATATGTAAACATGGATAGTAAATTACTTCAGAACATCAACATGCCATTCATTTTCAAGATCCATGAAATTGGAACTCTTTCATTCTGTTTCACTAAGCCAGTTACTATCAATTCGCTGCATGATATTTAATTCTAATAAATAGTAATAATATTGCTTAATTGGTGAACAACAAATCTACTATGGTTGTTTCACGCAAGTACAGGAAAATTCTTTGAAGTGTAATGTAAAACCATATAATGGATGTTTATTGAAAGATTTAAGTTAAAGTTTAGACGGTAATTCATATGCCTCCCAAACTTGTATTCATTGGACTCATTATTGATTAATCCAACACTTTTTGATGTTTTGCCTAGCTTTTATCCTGTAGACAGTTCTTTGATTCTTTCTATTCTAGACATTAATTTGAACCGCAAGACAAATCAATAGACTGTGTGTCTGGTGTGGTGGCCTAAGAAAGTCAGAAGCAGGGAGAAAAAATTGGTGATTTTGGCTAAGTGAGGGTTCATATTTTCATGGGTAAGCAGCAAGAGGGAACAACCATTAGCAAGAAGCTGGTTGAAGCATCACCAAGAGTGGTACTATCTACATCTCCTTTATATTATGTGATTATGTTTTTACTTTAGATGAAGTATTCAGTTTCATTTTCTGCAACTCGTAAATTGCCTCATTCAAGCTTTGTGAAATTGATATTTGCTGAACAATTTGTTCCTTGGACCACTTAAACTTTTTTAAGTTCCTAATGTTGTATTAATGGATATTGTCATCAGTAAAGGTCTGTGCAATGCTTTCTGATGAGATGCACTTTAGAGAAAAATTATGTTGTTCTAGTTTCATGCTCAGAATGATCTATGTCATGGTTGTCATGTGAAACACACACTTAACTTTTCTGGGTATTCCAAAATAGAAAATTAAGGCTCTTTCTTAACTTCAATCATTTTATGTGTATATGTTCATAGAATACATGATATTGATCTAACTGTGATCATTCTGAACCTCAAAGGAATCACGTGTGCATGAGAAGGACCAAATACTTTCAGTTCCAACTTCCGTGGACTCGCAAACTCAATCTCGTTGCCTTGTCTGTTTGGGCAACAATGGTTGCAGGACAGTTCGTTCGAGAACCAAATTGATGAATATTTTGGTTGAAAGGGGGAAGCCTCATGAAGCCCATTACATTTTCAGAAGTTTAATAGAAGAGGGGCACAAACCAACTCTTATTACATACACGGCTCTTGTAGCTGCCTTGACTCGCCAGAAAAGATTCAGGTCCATTCTCCCACTGCTCTCCAAAGTGGAAAAAAATGGTATGAAGCCTGATTCAATACTCTTCAATGCCATGATCAATGCCTTCTCTGAATCTGGAAATGTAGATCAAGCCATGAAAGTCTATCAGAAAATGAAGGATAGTGGATGTAAGCCCACAACCAGCACCTTTAATACCCTTATTAAAGGATATGGAAATGTTGGTAAGCCTGAAGAATCTCTGAAATTACTAGAGCTAATGTCACAGGATCAAAATCTAAAACCAAATGACAGAACTTACAATATTCTTGTTAGAGCCTGGTGTAACAAAAAGAACATAGAAGAAGCATGGAATGTGGTGTACAAGATGGTGGCATCCGGTATGCAACCTGATGTTGTCACTTACAACACATTAGCTAGGGCTTATGCTCAGAATCAGGAGTCGTATCGTGCTGAACAAATTATTTTTGAGATGCATAACAATCGATTGCGGCCAAATGTACGAACTTGTGGTATCATTGTGAGTGGGTACTGTAAAGAAGGCAATATGGAAGATGCAATGAGGTTTGTGTATAGAATGAAGGAGCTTGGGGTGCATCCGAATCTTGTTGTTTTCAACTCTCTTATCAAAGGATTTCTTGACACTACTGATACTGATGGAGTTAATGAGGTGAGTTCCTATGTCAAATACTAATATTTATCTTTCCAAATATTCTTCCTTTCTATCTTTCTCTCTCTTTATTTACGAGAAGAGCTATACATTTACAGAAGGTTCTATGTTGTGATCATGGTTCTTCTTAATACACTGAGTGCAGGATTTCTATTTTCAAGGCTGATTAATGATTTCAAATTATCTAGGCATAGATATTAAGGTTTTTAGTTTTCCCCTATTCTGGTGGAATTCTAGGTGTGCAGTTTGTCACCAGACGTGCATGGCATGGCTTGTCTAGTCTTGGACTAATAGACTTTTAATTATTATGTTACAGTTATTTAGGTCCCAGTGTTGAAAAAACAAAACCTGCAACATCTTCTATATTGTTATTCCAAGTTTTGAGTCTGACATTTGGCTTTTATATTCGATTTTCACCTTGGCATCATTAATGGAACATTTTATAAAGATTTGAAGTAGAAATTTTGTTTTTCCTGTCGCATAACCAATCATTCAAGTATAATGCTCTGAAACTCTATGATTTCTGAAGCATTTGAAAGCATTCAATATTAAAGGGAATATTACTTTGGACAGGCACTCACATTGATGGAAGAATTTGGGGTCAAACCGGATGTCGTAACATTTAGCACAATCATGGACGCTTGGAGCTCAACTGGGCTTATGGACAAATGCCAGGAGATCTCCAATGACATGGTAAAGGCTGGTATAGAACCTGACATCCATGCATTTAGCATCCTTGCGAAAGGCTATGTGCGTGCTGGAGACCCACAGAAGGCTGAGTCAGTCCTGATTTCAATGGACAGATCTGATGTGCTCCCCAATGTTGTTATCTTCACTACTATCATCAGTGGGTGGTGCAGTGCAGGAAAAATGGAGCATGCAATGAGTATTTTTGAGAAAATGCATGAACTTGGCATTTCTCCCAATTTGAAGACTTATGAAACTCTGATATGGGGATATGGAGAAGCAAAACAACCTTGGAAAGCAGAAGAATTGCTGCAAACAATGGAAGAGGAGGGTGTGCGTCCTAAGAAGAGCACTATCCAACTTGTTGCTGATGCATGGCGTGCCATTGGTCTGCTGAGTGATGCTAAGAGAGTTTTAAGTGACACACAAGAAGAACGGCTGCCAAATAGAAAGAAGGATGAGATACCGGTGGAAAGCTTGGAGAGGATTTATAAGAAGCAAAATCTTAGTGCTTCTAATTCTCACGGTTTGCAGATACCCGGAGTGGCGGCAAGTGACCAAAATGGGTTTCCAGCTGCTAAAATTAGAAGCCAAATAGTTCTGCAAAATTCTGGATTTTCATCTGAAACTGTATGGACTGCTACTAAATCCTTGTTCAACCAAACATGTGCATTCCGGGTGCAGCCACTGGTTTGCAGGAAGCAATCTGAAAGTCAGATGGGGATATGTGGGCAGTTTGTAAATGGTTATAGATTGGTGTTCATAAGCTGATGACTGCTGTGATCGTATTTCAACTGACATGCTTTTACACACTGAAGATCAAGGTGGATTTATTGGCTCCTGATGATAATTCGCTATAAAGTGTTGTAGATATTGAAAATTGATGTTTTACAATTTATACCTCTATTTCTACTGGTCTCATTGATTACACAACTCAGTTTCTAAGAGACGGCCATGTAATTTTTCTACCATTGGAATGTATACAATGTGGATAATCCAACTGTGATAATTGTTCATTGATTACAGAAAACCATACTTCACTCTTAAACCAATTCTCCTTTACTGCCACTTGTGTTACAATCTCATTATCATCATGGTCTTTATAGTGTTTTCGAACTTAGACAACTCAGTAAAGAATCAACCCTCGTTACCACAACACTTTCTTTTGGTTCTAAAAATCTTTCAACACTAGTCCAATCATGGAGTTGTGGTCAAGTTAAATGTGAATTGAATTTTAAATTTTTAATAACATGCTCAACCATTTTTTCATAGTTTAACTTTGTCCTTAGACTGACTGGAGTAATTTTAAATTTCATTATAATTATATAAATAATAAAATTTTATTTAATTGGATAAATACAGAAGTTATCTATAAAAAGAAAAAAAAAAAAAAAAGCGCCAGCGCAAAACAAGTACCACGCAGATGCGGGTCAAAGGTGTGGATTAAAACAGTGATTTTAACTTAAAACTGAAAAAGATTGGAAACTAGCTTTGAGTAGACATGATGATATCTCTAAATCCCCTGCCCCCACTTCCTTCCCTCCAAACCCCTAATCTCAATTCTACCCACTTCTCCAAACCCCTCAAAAACCCTAACTTCGGAATCCTCAATTTTCACCCATTATCAAAATCACCTCTTTTTCTTCCTCTTTTCAAAAACCTCAACTTTAAGCTTCCAAATCCTATTACCCTCCACCCCAGAAACCGACTTTCTAGGCTTTACTGTAACCAATTGAAAAGCACTGGAGAAGACACCAAGACAGTGGTTGGCTCCAGTGGCGGCGGCGGCGGTGGCGGTAATGGCGGTGGTGACGACGATGATGGGGAGATGGAGAAGAAGGATGGACCATTGCCAGAATGGCTGAATATAACTACGGATGATGCAAAAACGGTTTTTGCGGCGGTCGCTATTTCGCTTGCATTTCGGTCGTTTGTGGCCGAGCCAAGGTACATTCCTTCCTTGTCGATGTATCCTACGTTTGATGTTGGGGATCGAATTGTTGCAGAGAAGGTACGGGTCTTTATTCATAGTAATGTTACTTATTTGCTTCAATTTTGCTAGTAATAATGTAATTTATTCAAAGTGATGTGGTATTGATTTCAAGTATATGTGGTACACAATGTGTAGCTCTAACACAGTGCCCACATGGTTACAAAAACTTGAGTACATTTGACATGGCAGTCCTCTTTGCTTGATAAGGTTTTAATAGATTGTATTTGGATCTTTAAATGGAAAGAAATAAAACTATTGGTTTTGACTGGCTTTCTTCTATCTAAATGTTGTTTCTTATTACCGGATAAGATTTTCGGATTGTCTCTTATTTCTGTTGAGGTGGGAAGATATAATATCAGATGAGGGTTGTGTGCTACTATTTAGATTAATAGGTTTATTTACTTACTGCGATAGGATGAACAAATTATAGATCTAAAAAGAGATGCAACTCAGAAGAACTAATGATCAACAGATGATGTCTGATTCTTTTTCCCTGGGGATGATAAAAGAGAAATGAGGCATGTTGGTTTAAGCTTTGGTGATTCATGTAAGAAAAGAAAAACATGGTCGGGTATCGAGAAGAGCTGGACATATTTTAAAGCTACTTTGAGCTAAACCGTAAAAGTACTACTTTAGAATTTACTTCTAGGTAGATAATGTTGACGGGAATGCCTGGACCTTTCTATTGCATCAATAAGCATACACAGCTAAGTTTTATTTTTTGCATATAGCAAATATTGTTGATAAATATAGAAAATTAACCATCATAAACTTAAAATGTTGTAATTTGTTTGTTTCTTATACATTGATTAGTACCATTTACTAAACTTTAATGGGCGTGAATAGGATTTGATGTTCTATCTGTAGCCTTATTTTTTGAAGCATTATAGGATTTTTATAGTGCGTTATGTTTGAAGTAACAATTTGCTTAGTATTTTAATTCGTGAATATTGTATGCCAGGTTTCGTACTATTTCAGGAAGCCTTGTCCAAATGATATTGTGATTTTCAAAAGTCCACCAGTTCTTCAGGAAGTAGGATACACAGATGAAGATGTCTTTATTAAAAGAATTGTTGCCAAGGAAGGTGATATCGTAGAGGTGAGTTGCTTTACAAATTACAATAGGCACTTGCCACCCAGCAACTGTTGTCCTTTCCATTAATTTTAAAAGCTCCATCTTTTTCTTGGAATACACTTCAGTATTGAGCTCAGCAATGGAAAACTTTTTACTCATAGGTCCGGGAAGGGAAGCTTATGGTTAATGGAGTTGTAAGGAATGAGAACTTCATTCTCGAGGCACCTTCTTATAACATGACACCAATTGTAAGTATCAAGTAATAATCTTTAGAATTTCTTGTTATAATTCTCATTTTTCCATGTTCTGGTTACTTGTCCAAACAAAATAGGTGGTTGGAATACACATGTGCATGTAAAAGGAACTCTATTGAACTGATCGAGAAATTGTGGTGTCTTATGTTGTTGCCTAGACTGGTAAATTGATGCCATACATTGCTGATTCTGAATCTCCATTAATTTTGCAGCAAGTACCAGAGAACTCAGTCTTCGTAATGGGTGATAATCGTAATAATAGTTATGACTCTCACGTATGGTGAGATATATACTGCGCTACAACTTTACAGTTAAAAAGGCCGTGTGTTTTGAGCTGAATTGTTTATTTCTTCTCTTTGCTGATCATCTTGTGTTGTATATCAGGGGTCCCCTCCCTGCCAAGAATATAATTGGAAGATCGGTATTTCGCTATTGGCCTCCAAAAAGGATTGGTGGCACGGTGTTTGAGGGTGGCTGTGCTGTTGATAAACCGGCCAACAGTCCAGCTTCTTAATAGAACTTAAGGCATCATCTAACCAGTGGGTGTATCATTTATTTATATTTGTCAATTTTTTCCCCATGGTATCTTGTCCGAGTTTTTTTTTTTTTTTTACATCATTTGACATTGTCAGCCGCCTTCTTTTTGGTGGTAATTTTATTGCTTAGTAGAAATGTCATTCTTGAGAGAAGTCCAGTTTTTTTGGAGCTTCTAACACACTTTCTTAATGTATATGTACATTGATCCTTGAATGAATTATAAAATTCAATTTAGACGTGAATGTATATGAATGTAACCTTTTGGCTGAAAATTGAGATTAATTACGATTCAGGGTGTAAATTTATCACATTACGTACTGCTTTAGATTATGGATGCTCATGCTATCAGGAGTTATGGATTAGATTATGGAGACTATGTTTCAGGAATCAATGTCCAAGATGTAGTGCATCTATGCATGCTAAATTTTGATAAATATGAATTGTTTCCTCTGCAATTCAGTTGTTATTCACTATACCTATGACAAGCAACAGGTTTCGGTTGGTACCAAAAAATAATAATAATAATAATAACTATCGGTTTGCTCACTAAACAGTCATCAATCAACCTCGAAAAGATACCTCAAAAAGATGGTAGTGGAAGATTGTAATGTCATCTGAATAAACACAAATATTATTATAAAGCAAGAATTTACATAATTCATGGAATGTATCAGCAGAATCAGAAAACCTACATGGAAAACCAAGGAATGGCGAAACAGGGTAAATACAATATTTAGCAAACACCTATAACTATAATATGGTTGAAATGATTTTACCATCCAAAACAAACCAAACCAAAACAACAAATAATTTTAAAAGAGGGAAATGAACTTTTCTTTCAAGTGAGAAGATGAGGATGAGTGAAGATAGACATAACTCATATATGATATTAATAGGTATATATACTACAGAAGACAGAACTATGTATATGTACAGGAATCCTTCTTAAGTTTGATGGGTTTGTTGCTACGAGAGTCGATAAGCAAGGAGCATGAAATATGTTTTCGATGCCTCGATCTCACCAGCTTCCCAACCACATTCCCTCTTTGCCTCACTTCAAAAACCAGAACTACCGGAACTGCTCCACTGTTATCCGATACTAATAAACTCGACCCGGCTCCATATAAAGGAATCTTGTTTCCTTTTAGGTTCACGTTCACAACCCTGTGACTCTTTCTTGGTTGATAGTATTTCTTCAACTGCAATCAATCGTAAACATCAATTTCAATCTGAATTGTAGAAATAACCCTGACATTGGGATTCAGATCTCTCTTTTACTTACCTCACCAGTTGCAACTGTAATCTCGGAGAACATAAGATTGACAGGTGTGGCGCTGAGATGAATACCAAAAAATGTTGCTGGGTTATACACATTCATCTTCATTGAACAATTCAATGTCAGCATCTTCGTCGGCACTCCTGTCATGTCCGTTCCTACTCCCAGATAAAAATTATGTATGCTCAAACTCTGTAACCCAAATAGGAAAACAAGGTTAAGGTTACCCACATGTTGCAGGCTTGGATGAATACAATAATTTAATTAAAAAAAAAAAAAAAAGGTGTATATATATATATATAAAAGATAAAGGCAAACCTTGACGGTAATCTGAGCTTTATAAGGGCGACTAGCACCCCAAATAATTAAACAAAAAACAGAAAACACCAAGACAAAAGCAACAACACCAATCATAATCTGACACCTCCTGGAGTAGCCTTTATCAGCAGAATAATAGTCATTACAATCTCCCTCTTCTTCGATGACTTTACACTCAGGCCATCCCTTATCGTTTCTCTTCCTGCCTCTGGAGAAACGAAAGGTACCGGAGAATCGGCTGGCGGATGACTCCCTGGAGTGGCGTCCATAGGAGGGATGGGAGGGGGAGTCGGTGGGGGTGTTGTAGGCGGGCGTGTTTTGCATGGTGGATGATTTGTCGCCATCATGGGAGTCACGTGAGGGACTCTGGACGTAGTAAACGGCTCGTTTTGGAGATCTGGGTGAGGAAGGGGCGAGGCTGGTGACGTCGGAATCGGATTTGGCGTGCAGCATCTTTAATTGTTTGGATCTGAGAAGAGAGATGAAAAAAAGTAAAGAGAGTGTTAGTGGGAATGGCCGAATGGGAGTGGGAGTGGGGAGTTTGTTAAAGTTTTGCAGTGACAGTCACAAACTCAAGAGTCACAGATAGTGATGGAAGGCTACAGGTGTTGGTTCGGTGTGAGTAAATTTGGGGGTTTATGCTTATTAGCTTTGAAAACCAAACCAACCAAGTGTCGGCAGTTTACACCTTACTGTTAATGTTCCAACCAAAGCACGGACGCATTCAATTTGAAAGATAATGCCTCCTACTACGCTGTCGTTTAACCACAACACCCACTTGAGTTACCTTTCTTTTCCTCGTTATTTTACTTTTTCACTAACGCGGTATTATAAGGTTTTATTACTCTACTGTTTATCATCCAACAATAAGTAGTACGTAAATTAGTCTTTAATTATGGTTCAAACTATGACTTTTATGTAATAAAAATATATTAAATGTAAAACACGGCCATATCCACATCATAGACTTCTTGGTAGCAATTATGAAGCTTCAAGTTGATAGAGGCCTTTTGTATTACAACTCATATTCTTCCCAATAATTTAGGCTCCGTTTGGTTCACTTTTTTACACTTTTGAGAAAAGTTTTTTTGAAAAAAGTTAAAAAAAATTGAATTAGGTGTGTATTACAATGTAAGATTTAAAAATAAATAAAAATACCCCCTATGTTTGTTTATTTACTAAATACCTCTATAATAAAACATTAAAAGTTAAAAAAAACACTCCCAACCCACCCATTAAATATGGACAATCGGCCACCACCGTCGGAGGGTGGTCGGAGTGTTTTTGCAATTTTAAAAAAAAATATTTGGATGTATTTAGTTAAATTAACAAATTTTAGAAGTTTAAAAGATATTGAAAAAGATAGAATAATATTTTGGGAATAATGACATTTTATTGTTTAATTTTTTTGGGAATACTAATAATAGTTTTCCCAAAAATGAACCGAAGCCTTAAATGCTTCATTCAATTATAATATGCCTGGCAACAAAGGATAAAAAAGTCTTTCAAGATCTTATTAGTTTCAACGGCCCACAATGTAAGATACAGATAGGTATCATTCATCATTCCAGGCCTCAGCCACAGAAGAAACCAAATTTTCTACCCAAGTGCTGGCACCATCGCCTTTAGCCTTCCTCCCTTCACCGCTAATTAAAATTACTTAATTCAGTTTTTATAGCACTACTGGCACTCTTAACCATCACTGCAAAACAAGAAAATAAGCAGAAACATAGCTTCCAAGATAAAAATAAGTAGTAGCAAACACCAAAAGGACTCAGAATATGGGTGGTGATATATCAGGATGGTCGGCAAGGCTAATAAAATATATCAGCCAATTACGACGAACGAGACCATTGATACAATTCTTCACCGTCCTTGTCTTAATTCAATCCCAACTTCAGACTTAATTTTAGATTCCCAAACACTCACATTTGCTCTCACAGTCAAAGACATTGACAGAAATAATGCATTCAGAGATAATGAAAGGCAATAATCAACCAATCTATACTAACAAAAGGAAAGAAACACCTAAATGGCCTCATAGAGACATCCGATATAGTTTGTCAACACGAATTTTCTGACATATGCTTGTCATTGAAGAGTTTATAATCATAGGCCATATTTTATAAAACAGGTGATGAACATTAGAAAAGAATCTTTAAATCTAACTGGAAACACAAAAATTAAAAGACAACATTAAATAATTTGTAGTAGATAAATGGGTCATCAGATAGGAGCGAAAGACTAAAGATTTAATAATCACAGATTATCATCTGAACTATGCTTAATTAATCATCACTGACCCTGAATCAAACAAAATTCAAACCATAAATGAATAATAACTAATAACATAAAAGCATTTGAAACATCAAAAGCCTTAGGCCTCAGAAGGAAGGCAGTAGTGGTACTGTAATCATAGTTTATCATAAATTACAAAAACACCAATTCTTTCATCATTGGCAACTGCATATTCCACATTTATAACAAAACCACAAGTTCAAAAAAAAAAAATTCAAATTTCTCAATTTCGGAACAACCAAACAGCACAGTCAAAAAAACGAAAGCAGTATCGGCCTCATAGAGAAGATTAGGTTAATCAACATGAGATGATTCAGACATATGCTTGTCTAAATAAGTTTATAATCATCGGCCGAACAACCAACTCCCTCAACTTCAAAAAACGAACGGAAAAACAAAACCCTAATTTTGAAAAAAAATAGCAAAAAATAAATTAAATAATACTAGAGAAAAGAGGGACTCAGAATATGGGTGGTGATATATCAGGATGGTCGGCAAGGCTAATAAATTAGCCAGTTACGACGAACGAGACCTTTCACGATGAAATCGTCACCGTCCCTAAATAGACTAGTTTTTTAAGAGACAACAAAATTAAAATCAATGACTGAGAAAATGAACGGAAAAAACCCTACAGACGACGAGAACGAATTAAGAGTTCAGGGTGAAGAGCGAAGGCTACAGCTTGGTTGATCGCTTACCGGTATTTATATAGAGGCGCGAATGGGCTAGGGTTTGTGATGGTGTAAGTTCGTAGGGTTTTACAGTTTTAATCCTATGACTGAGGTGTGGGCAGGCGCATGTTTATTATAATGCAGACACTTCTGTGCCGTATGATGTGTTGTGAATTAGACGGATCACACCCAAAGGGGCGTATGCTTCTAATAGTATCTAGAAAATTAGACATACAGTGTAATTTACAACCAAAATAAAAAAGAAATAATCTATCAGTAAAATTATTTTTAATTATTAAATTTAATTTAATTTTACGAACCACATTAAAAGGCAGATTATTAAAAATCTTAGCTAAACAAATATTTGAATATTTTTCTAATCTTTTTATTTTAAAATCAAAGAATAATATACAAGTAATAAGATAAGCTTAAACAGTTAAGACTCGAGTTTCAATTTCAAATATAATACATATTATTATTAGTTATAAATTACTTTGAGCATAGAGAAATCATATTAAATATCACTTATTAAATGATTGAATTGAAATCTACCCCAAAAAAAAAAAAAAATACTCTCCCACCAAATATCCTTCCCACATTTTCAAATACCAAGAAATTATATTAATTTTCATGATGAATTGTTGTTAGAGTTTAGGTTAAAATTATGTTAGGTATACATTTGTGTAATTTTTTTATTGTTGGATCTTTGATGTTTGTTTGGTGGTTTATTGCTTGATTCTTGTAATTGGTTGTGTTGTGAAGAAGAGTTCTTATCGTTTTGTTGGAAGAAATTGATAAAAGGGAGTGATAGGAAGTAGGGGTGGGTGGGTACCCGAATCAAAGTAATCGGAACCAGAACCGATCGGTTCCTTTTATTCGGTTTCGGTTCTTAAAAACTTGGAACCAGAACCTGTGTTACACTTACAGGTTTCGGTTCCGGGTACCTTAGAAAATATCAATTACCCCCCTATTTTCTAAAAAATAACAAATAAACCATTATAAAATTACAATGACATCCCTAGCAATTAAGTGCAAAACATTAAATAATATATTTGTTTATATTTACTTGATGTTTGATGTTTGATTATAAGTATTTAATTATTTATTTTCACCGATAATAAATATTTAAAAGCTATTATTTAACATAAATGTCTTAATATATATTAATTTTTTAATCAAGTAATAAGTGAAACTTAAATATTAATAAGAATATTTTGAAAAACTGATCTTTTAATGAAAATTAATAAGATTTTTGATACTAAGATAAAAAAAACTAGGGTACGTTTGGTTTATTATTTTGGATAGGATTTTGGGGATAGTATTGCATAGTTAGATAGGGTTATGATTACGAGAATAAGATTTGCAGAATATGTGTTTGATAGAGTATTTTGACCTTGATATTTGTGTTGAATATTTGATTAATATATTTTTTTATAAATGATTTATCAATATAATCTTTTGTTGCATTTTGTTAAAATAATGTATTATTATATATATAACTTATCAAGTTACATTTTAATAATACTAAATATTTTATTGGTAATTTTGTCACCTGTAGATATTAAAAAACAAAAACTCATATTAATTTCAAGTACTAATCTAACTGTTTAGAAACATCACATTAATACATATATGACAAAAGTACTAATTATCAACCCTTACAATCATTATTACATGTATACTCCATTAACAACTACGACATGGTCCACTATGTTGCCCACAGTGCATTCGTTATGTTATCCCGTACAGTCGTCATGTTGTCTATAATACCTTGTTGCGGTTGAGTCGGTCCTTCTCCATTTTGGCCATATTCTGTCCCGTTTTGACGATCACAATATACTTGCTCATTACCTGTACTATTATTGGTTTGTTCGAAGATATGGTCGTCCATATTGTACATTCTGATAAAATTATGAAGTACACAACATGCCATAACAATCTTCCCTTGTTTGTCCAACGGGTAATTGTTCATTCCATTTAGAATACGGAACCGTCTTTTCAAAACACCAAAGGTTCTCTCGATAACATTGCGGAGTAAAGTATGTCTGTAGTTAAACAACTCTTGTGGCCCCCTTCGGTTACGGCGGTGATCAGAAATATGGTAAGCCACTCGCCTATGAGGGGCGAGGAACCCATCTCTATTTGGATAACCCGCATCAACCAAATAGTATTTCCCTGTAATAATATCAGACATTTTATTTGAATTACAGGCCTCAACAGTGGAGCAAATACGCTATAATACGTCAAAAAAATACTTATACCTGGTGGAGGATGTGGGAATCCAGAATTAGGATCATCAATAATTGAATTTAAAACTCTTGAATCATGCGCAGATCCTTCCCATCTAGTAACGACATAAGTGAACATCATGTTAAAGTCGCATACAGCCATTACATTCTATACATCGATCCTTTGCGATTTCGATACCTATCGGCAAATTCATGTGGAACCGAAGCGTATACATGTGTGCCATCCATGGCTCCAATACAGTCCTATCATGAAAATTGAATTTTACTAATATTAATCTACTAAAAAAATTAATAACACAATGAACTTAACTATCTACTAATAGCAAACATAATGAACCAGTATCTTAAAGAAAGGGTAATATTTTCTGTTGGCTGATATTTCCCACGAAACATCATTGAAGTCAGGTGGTCTGATAAACTCTGTCTCAACTCACATATAGCGTCGCAAACTGCGGTAACATGTCTAGAGATCGTCTCACCCGAATGTTGGAAATCCTCCATCATCGTTCTGATTGTCTCGTTTTTTCCAATGATTGTTAGAAATATCATAACTTGTTCTTCCAAACTCGTCCTCCTGGTTGGTTGCAATTTCCCTTTATCGGACAAAATTTCACATAACAATGTAAAACAGTCTTTGTCCATGCGGCACTTGTCATAGATCTTGTCAGGATGACCGTTGAGTACTTCCAACATGTACTGATGACCAGGTAATACGGATTTATGTCGTGGTTCACGCCCACTTGCTTCTAACGCGGCAACACCGCAAAGTGCAACGGCTATATCTGTCAGTATTTCTTCTTCGTCCCTCTCATCTGTAGCACGTCATCTTCTTCCTCTATGGCTAGACAACGCCATTTAAACCTACACATTTGCAAAACATTTATCAACAATTAACAGTTGTTGTACTACTTAGCAAAATATAACAGTCAATATTTAATTATAATGACAATCGAAAACGGTGTTTACACATGTAATATCACATAAATAAGTTGATACAATAGCGTTATAAATTGTAATTGTAATGACAACGGCCCACTGACGCATACAAAATTGTTGCCAAATACTTATGAAATATCGTGTCATATATTATAATTGGGAAAGTTGTTATAAATCCAGTTAATCTTTTCCTCCAGTGGGAGTTTCACAAATGTCTCCTGCCACCCTGGATTTTCATATAAGTACGTGACAACCAGTAGGTAAAACTGTGTCGGTACTTGCATGGTCGTCATGATGTCAATACAATTGCTCATGGAAAAAGGATCAGATGGAGTACTGGTGTTCTCTTCTTCCTTCTCATCTGCACTGCGATTGCTAGCCCTCGATCCCATAGTTCGCTTCTCCGCAAGCTCGTCCATCAAGCTAAAAATGGCATCCTAAGTGATTGTCCTCGACTGCTTCTATGCCTCCTATTTCTCGCTCTTCCATGGCCAGATGTGTTTGGCCCTTTTTCCCCTGTCGTTCGATCAGGATCATGTTCAAAGTCGCTATCATCCATGGGAACCGCGCCGAGATTGGAATAACTGGAGGTCTCCACCGGTTGGGATGTAGATGTGTACGCATATCTTCTAGTGGTAGTTTGCTTCCCAAATATTATTTCATAAAGCTCCTTCTAAGGAAGTCGCTTGTGGTAAAATTGTTGCGCCAGTGGGTTTTGTTGGTAAGTAAAAAGAATAATATATTAATATTTAGCGGTCCCAAAAAAATGCGTACATTTATGGTGTCGTTGAATAATATTAGTTAAAAAAGGGATTTGCGAGTTCACGGTAGTGGGTTCATGTGAGAAGTGGAGCACTGAAGCTGGTAATGGATACTGAGAAAGTGAAATGGTGGTAATGCAAAATGAGAAGTGAAGCACTGAACCTGGTAATGGATTATGAGAACTGAAATGGTGGTAATGGAAACTGAGAAAGTGAAGCACTAAAAACGTTAATGCAAACTAAGAAGTGAAGCACGAAGCTGGTAATGGATACTGAGAAAGTGAAATGGTGAAGCAGTGAAGATGCAGCGAAGAAAAGTGAAAAGCAAAGTGAAGAAAAGTGAAAAGCAAACTGTAACGATCAAAAAATTGTCAGGATAGTTTTCAGGATTATATTTTCAGGACAGTATTGTGTAAATAATGAATCAAACACCATCTGTAGAATCTGGTCTAGAATATGAATAAAAATACTAAGCCAAACACTATCTAAAATTTTCTTATATATTTATATGATATGTAAAATATCAACCACCCCCCACAATATGCAAAATATCAAAACATCTTTAATATTATATCAATTTAGTCTTGATTCCCAGTTTCGGTTTTAGTTCTGATTCTGGTTTTGGTTTTGGTTCCGGTTCCTTTGATTTGGAACCGGAATCGCACAGTATCGGTTCCAATTTTTTGGCACCAGAACCTACCCTGTTACGACTGGTTCCATGTAGGAACTGAAATCGACACTCGGGTACCCGTCGGTTTCGGTTCTACCCTTAAATTTTGCCCATCCCTAATAGGAAGCCATAAAAAATCATGAAACTAACTATAAAAAATGAAGATAGGTTGACAAACGCTTCTCACAACTTTCTCTCACAAATGCTGACATGGCAGCTCACAATTGATCAGTTCGTATTTAGTTAGACAGGACTCGTTGTTGGGCAGGCG